TGTGCGAGGAATTCAAGCGGGTACCAGGAAATTTAGGTTGGCGTGGCTGACGTGGGTGAAAGCACTCTGTCACCCTAGCAGAACAAATCCACTTTTTAAAAAATGGCAACACTCTTCCTGGGCCACGACCTTCAACAGGAACTCTTGAATCCCTTCTGAAGTGTGTGATAGGAATTTTATGGTCTTAGATATATGGTAAGGTTCATAAGTGTACCAACCAAGCACGTACATAGATCAGCACAGGAAGACCAACCTGGAACCATTTTGATTCCTAAACTGACCATAAAGAAGGCTGATCGCCGAAGAATTGATGCTTTTGAATTATGGTGCTGGAGGAGACTCTTGAGAGTCCCATGGACTGCAAGAAGATCAAACGCATCCATTCTTAAGGAAATCAGACCTGAGTGCTCACTGGAAGGACAGATCGTGAAGCTGAGGCTCCAATACTTTGGCCACCTCATGAGAAGAGAAGACTCCCTGGAAAAGACCCTGATGTTGGGAAAGATGGAGGGCACAAGGAGAAGGGGACGACAGAGGATGAGATGGTTGGATAGTGTTCTCGAAGCTACAAACATGAGCCTGACCAAACTGCGGGAGGCAGTGGAAGACAGGAGTGCCTGGCGTGCTCTGGTCCATGGGGTCACGAAGAGTCGGACACGACTAAAGGACTAAACAACAACAAACTGACCGAATGTTTTCTCTGCAAGGTCAAAGTGGGAAACCTCCTATTGTCTCTTTTCTCACAAATCCTGTCTTAAGGGCACATTTAAGATATGAATAGGGTGTGAGCCTGTGACCTGGCCCAGGAACTAAGTATTTATCATTACAAAAGACTGGCCAGGCTCCCCAGTCAATCCAATCAAGTAACCTGCCAGACAGGAGATAAACAACGACAGGAGAAAAACAACATTCAAATTTCTGTTTTAGACCGCCTTTTCTGTGATGTAGGTATGATGTTTCTGGGGGTGGTCTTGATCTACAGGGTGGCAATTTCAAAAGTCTTTATAAGGCCTTGCGCACCATTTTTCTGGGTTCCTCCTCTCTCCTGCGGGTGAGGGGAAGCACCCTGTTGCAACAGATCAATAAAGATCAATCTTACTCGCTGCTTTGCTTCTCAATATTCTCTGGTTGGCCTCTGTTATTCTCTCCTACCAATAGGGAACCTATGTAAGGAGTCTATATGGGTTCTTTGATACCCCATAAGGGAAAAGGGCAATTTTTGTTTACAACAAGTGGCACCAGCCCAGACAAAATGACAATGAGACCTGGGTGCGAGTGTACTACCTTTAACCAGTTGCATGCTGGTTAAGATGTACTGAACGTTCCTTATCGCCTGTTTTCCCAACACTGAGCAGGGAACTCTGTGGTTCCTCTCTCTCCCCCGGCCTGAACCTAAACTGAAGTTATTTTTAGTTCTAATGTTTTCGCAAGCGCCGTCAGGAGCCAAGAACAGGGAAATGCAGAGCTCTAGAGAACTTCTCCAAAGTTCATAAAAACAAGTGGGAGGGAAGAGGAATCTGGTTTTCGTCGCTGTCTGCCCAGACCGAGAAGTTGCTCCTGCCAAATTCATACTTTCTGCCACATCTGAGGTTATGAATATGCCACAGTGGGGAAAGCTGCACTGGTTGAATAACTGCATGCCACTGTTAAAAGGCATAGGGAAGGAAAGGAGGAGTAAACTGACACGACAGACCACATAACAAGGGTGATAACAGGAATTTTTAGGGGGAAAGCTTTCAAGAGTCTTCTTTAATAATAATAAAAAATAATATTAAAAAGTTAAATATTTGATGCAGTTTGAAAAAACAGAAACTTTCCAAAATATGGGTGCCAGCTGTCCAATAAGTAGTCTGGTCTGTGCCTCTGCCTCTAACTCCTTGAACTATTGGCTGACAGTGATGGAGACTGTAGCCCAAAACATCTGGAAAGCATCAAACTGGTATTAAAAACCTGTTGGCATCCAGCGTGCCAGTTCACCAGGTTCCTCAGTCATTTTCAGAGCCTTCCATGCCATCGGTGCAAAACATTATCAGTAACTAACTAAGATCTAGGCAGCTCAATCCTGCCCACTGCTCCCCAAATCCCTGAGGGAACTTGAGCGAATCATCTTTTAAAATCAACCTTTTAAAAATATTTTGCGACAAGAGCCAGCTTGTGCCAGCAGTCTGCATCAGCTGTGTTGTTCTCGATACCTTGGGGACTTTTCTATTCTTACCTAAGGATTGTGTTATACAGGAACTTATAACAAGAAGCAGTAAGACCTAGCCAAGCGATGGTCACCTCCAGACTGGATTATTGTAACTCGCTCTACGTGGGGCTGCCCTTGAAACTGACCCAGAAACTCCAGCGGGTGCAGAATGCCGCGGCAAGACTCCTTACGGGGTCCTCGCCACGGGATCACATTCACCTGGTGCTATACCAGCTGCACTGGCTCCCGGTGGAGTACAGGATCAGGTTTAAGGTGCTGGTTTTAACCTTTAAAACCCTAATTGGCCTAGGACCCTCGTACCTATGGGACCGCCTCTCCTGGTATGCCCCACGGAGAACCTTACGGTCTGCAAACAAGAACATCTTGGAGATCCCAGGCCACAGGGAGGTTAGGCTGGCCTCAACCAGAGCCAGGGCTTTTTCGGCTGTGGCCCCAATCTGGTGGAACGCTCTGTCACAAGAGACTAGGGCCCTGCGGGACTTGACATCTTTCCGCAGGGCCTGCAAGACAGAGCTGTTCCACCAGGCCTTTAGCCAAGGCACAGTCTGACCCCCTCTTCTGGTAATCCCCATAGAACTCTAACCCAATGGTTGCCATTAATTTGATTCTGAATTGATTTTAGAATGAATTGATTTTAGAATGTATTTTAATTAATTGTGATTTTATGTAAACTGTGTTGCTTTTACTGTTGTTAGTTGCTCTGAGCCCGGCTTCGGCTGGGGAGGATATAAATAAAATTGTATTATTATTGTTAAGAAAAGTTAAGAAAAGATGAAATGCAATAACATTGGAATGAGCCCCATAGGTTATACACCGTACATATGAACTGTATACGTTGCACAGACTGGACTAGACCTTTACGATAGGAAATAACCAATAAAATTATCACAGTTCTTATCCTTCAGCCTGTTGCGCTATGTGTATTGTGACAACTGTATTTGAGTAGCAAGGTATTGAACTTGTTTTGATTTTGATTTAGCCGAGATTCCTGTATTGCAGGGCATTGGACTAGAGGACCCTTCGAACTCTTACGATTCTGTGAACAAGTTTTGGGCAAAGATAAATGGTGGAGTTTCAGGCTGTGGCTCATTCACCTTGGTTGCTACGAGAAGCAGGGGAGGCTGCCATAGCGATTGTTATGAAAGCTGTCCCTCTGCGTGAGCCTCCCAGGAAAGTGTTGCCTGAAATGAACTCTTGGCTTGGCCGACAGACAATGCAATTACGCAAGCTGAAATTTGCCCTTAAAACGCCTCTTTGAAAATGGATCTACCGTTCCTTTTCTTTTTGCCCCGCAGCACTTATTTGCTGCTGAATCAAGGCAAAGCAAAGCAGATCCCCCAAATATTGTTGCTTCTGGATAAGCTTGTGCCGCATGAAATAGCATCATAGAATCATAGAGTTGGAATAGACCACAAGGGCCATCGAGTCCAACCCCCTGCCAAGCAGGAAACACCATCAGAGCACTCCTGACATATGGTTGTCAAGCCTCTGCTTAGGTAAAGGTAAAGGTAAAGGTACCCCTGCCCGTACGGGCCAGTCTTGCCAGACTCTAGGGTTGTGTGCTCATCTCACTCTATAGGCCGGGAGCCAGTGCTGTCCGCAGACACTTCCGGGTCACGTGGCCAGCGTGACATCGCTGCTCTGGCAAGCCAGCGCAGCACACCGAACACCGTTTACCTTCCCGCTAGTAAGCGGTCCCTATTTATCTACTTGCACCCGAAGGTGCTTTCGAACTGCTAGGTTGGCAGGCGCTGGGACCGAACGACGGGAGCTCACCCTGTCGCAGGGATTTGAACCGCCGACCTTCTGATCAGCAAGTCCTAGGCTCTGTGGTTTAACCCACAGCGCCACCCACGTCCTTAGTAACTTGTAGAGTCTGCTGTAAATAATAAACACCTATAAGTAATCAAGTTACTAGTAGCAGCATCTTGTTCCTGCTTCGTCCATCCTGCCTGCAACTGATTGCTTTCTGGAACTCTGAGTATGCTCTGCTAAGGTCTGGCTAAGGTCCTGCAGCAGGTCAAAGTTGCAAAACACCAATAAAACACACTGGTACCATTTTGCGGCCCTGTCTCTTTTCCTATTCCTTCAGATGTGGCCGCAATTTTGTGCTGCCACGTTCTGCATTTTGTGCCCGGCGCCCACTGCACATTTACAAAATTCCAAATACCCCCACTGCCCCCCCAAAATCGGCAAGCCCTGCAGCATTCAGAGTCCCTTCCTGAGGGGGGTATGGCCTCTCTGGAACGGTAAAACCAAGGTGGAAAAGTTCAGATTTGAACTCAAATATTGCCGATCTGAGCCGCAGAAAACACACGAGTCCGCCGAGGTTTGTTCTGCAAATGAAGCCTTCATCTTCAAAAGGTTATCTGCTCTTTTGCCTTCCTGCCTCCTTCCAAACAGGGGACACCCAGAAGCCTTGTGCGTTGATTCTCCTTTCTTGTGCATGATAGCTTTTATAGCCTGATGACATTCCCGGTGGTGCTTCATGGTAAAAAAACAAAAAACGGCTAAAGGAAGCCTAGACGGTTATATCCAGTCAAAGGCGACTATGGCGTTGCAGCGCTCATCTCGCTTTTCAGGCTGAGGGAGCCGACGTTGGTCCACAGGCAGCTTTCTGGGTCATGTGGCCAGCATGACTAAACTGCTTCTGGTGCAACGGAACACCGTGACGGAAACCAGAGCGCACAGAAACGCCGTTTATCTTCCTGCCGTAGCGGTACCTATTTGTCTACTTGCACTGGCGTGCTTTCAAACTGCTAGGTTGGCAGGAGCAGGGACCGAGCAACGGGAGCTCATCCTGTTGTGGGGATTTGAAACCGCCGACCTTCTGATCGGCAAGCCCAAGAGGCTCAGTGGTTTAGACCACAGCGCCACCCCGCTCTTCATGAGCGACAGTTAAATGGGCCTGTCCCCAGATCCCACCCTTCCTCTCTTCCCATGAGATGTAGTAATGGGCACCAGCTTGGACGGCTCCTGCACTCATGTCCTGTTTGCAGGCTTTCCTTGGGTTGGCCACTGGGAGAACAAGATGCCAGCCCTGAGAGGAGTTTGGCCTGATCTCTTCTTAGTCTCTTATCCTGCAATGCCAATTGAACAAATATGGCACGGAGATCACATGTCCGCAGTCGGAGTCTGTTTTTATCACAGAAGCCCAAAGCCTGCTCCTCTACCCTCCCAAGGTGTGTGCATGTTTCGGTTCGATAGAGGTCGCTTTCTCCGTATGAAATTTGCGAGGTTTAAAGGGAGGAGGAGGAGGAAAGAGGAAGCTGCTCCTTTCATTCCGGGTTCTCGTACATGGTGAAACTCTGGAGCTGCCCTCGGAGCTGCTTGAAGTCTGGTCTCTCTTTTGGGTTCAGGTCCCAGCATGCGCACATGATGTTGTACATTGTGGCAGGACAGTTGAGAGGGCAGTGCATCCGGAAACCCGTCTGGACGTGCTTGAAAACTTCACTGTTGGTCATACCTGCAAAGAGCGAGGAAAATGTTATGTACTGAAGTTCTCACCCTGGGCCAGCAGGGGGATACTGTAGATAGTTTTCACTCAGGTCCACGTCAGTTATTTTAGGCGGGAAACCCTGGGTTGTTGTTGCTACAATGTTGACAGCCGGCTGCCTATAAAAGCAGGTCGGCTGAGCTGTTTGCTGTTCAGTTCTGTCCAGCTTACAAATAAAGAGCTGCTCTGGAGAAATCGCTGTGTCGTCTGCTATGTTCGCCCACAACTTAACAGAAAACAATAATGTTAATACAGTCATAACTCATGTTATGTTTGCTTGATGTTACGTTCTTTCAGGTTACGTCCCGCGGCGACCTGGAAGTACTGGAAAGGGTTACTTCCAGGTTTTGCCGCTCGTGCATGTGCACAAGTGCTAAATCATGCTTCGCACATGCGCACAAGCGCCAAATGGTGCCGCACACCTGCGCAGATACAGCGCTTCAGGTTGCGCTTTTTTCATGTTGCGAGCGGGGCTCCGGAACGGATCCTGTTCGCAACCAGAGGTACCACTGTAATAATAATAATAATAATAATAGTAGTAGTAATATTAAGTGTAGCTGCATTTAAAATGCAGCAGGTGCTGCTGAATTAACATTATATTTTTTAAATGATCATCAATTTATTTTTATTTTTATTATTGTTCAAGAATTAAAAATTACAGTTGCAAAATCACCCAGTTACAAATTAACAAATTCAAATCCTGTGTTTATCAAATCACCGTATTTTTCGCTCCATAAGAAGCACCTTACCATAAGACGCACTTAGTTTTTAGAGGGGGAATGCAAGAAAAAAAAATTCTTTAAATATTTCTTGTTTCCTTGCAACCAGCGCCTTTGTTGTTTCCCAAGCATATAAATATCCATTTATTTCATGCGTGCAATCCTTCCAGCTAGAAGGGCTGAATTAACACTATAAATCTTGTAGCCTAAGACTAGCACGGCTATGCATTCATCATAGAATCATAGAAGAGACCCCAAAGCTCATCTAGTCCAACCCAGGAATCTCAATTAAAGCATCCATGACAGATGACCATCCAATCTCTGCTTAAAAGCCTCCGGCTGGGGCAGGTCCTGGGCTGCCTCCGCTGCCAAAATGACTTGCAGAAGGGTCGTAGCTCAGGGATAGAGAAGCTACCCTGGTTCCGCCTCTGTAAGGCTGGGAATGTGCCCTGCCGGGAAACATCAACAGCCTCTTCCAGTCAGTGCTGGCAGCGCTGAGCTGGGAGGACCCGTGGTCTGGCTCAGTATAAAGCAGTTTCCTCGGTTCCTACGATGCCCCGGATCTCAAACGCACCTGGATATGGGTTCTGGCCAAGGGTCATGATTTCATACAGGAGAATTCCAAAGGACCAAACGTCGGATTTGACGGAGTAGCGGCCGTGGGAAAGGGCTTCCGGTGCCGTCCATTTGTAGGGGACGTTGTGGGAGTAAGATTCGTAAACGTTGTCCTGCGAGAACAGAAGAACAACATGTATGTATAACAACAACCCACTGAACACTTTACAGTTGTGCACTTTTATTATTAACTACATGAGCCACAGAATTCAGCAAATCTTGGTGTCATATTGGTGCAGAATTGGTGCCGGGGCACAACCTATTTTTATTTACTGTCAACAGTCCCCAAGCCTCAAGAAAATTCCTTTTTGTTTTTTGTATATAATTTTTATTAAATTTTCTGTTTTACAATTTAAAGTACTCATTTTTTCATCCTTAAGAGATTAAGGACTTCTCTTCTCTTTCTGTGGTTCGTTTTACATATCATAAATCCTGCATATTTTACAAAAACTATACCGTTCAGTATTCCATTATTGCATCCATCAAAACTTATTTATACTGTTCTTTATCCTGCCGGTGTTTTCAGCTGTACACAGTTATTTCCCACATATTCAATAAATATTTTCCAGTCTTCTCTAAATGTATGTTCTTCTATATGTTAAGTGTGCAAGTTGTGCATATTCTGTCAACTTAAGTTGCCATTCTTCTTTAATTGGAACCTTGCTTGTTTTCCATTTTGGGGCTAACAAAACACGGGCCGCAGTAGTGGCATATATAAATAACCATTTTTGACACCTGGGGATTTCAGTCAGAATTATCCCCAACAGAAAGGACTCTGGGTTTTGGGGGGAAAGTACATTTAAACATTTTTTATCAATTCATTATGCATCATTTCCCAGTACAGTGGTACCTCTGGTTGCGAACGGGATCTGTTCCGGAGCCCCATTCGCAACATGAGCAGAACGCAACCCGCGTCTGCATGTGCGCGGGTTGCGATTTGTTGCTTCTGCACATGCGCGTGACGTCATTTTGAGCGCCTGCGCATGCGGGAGCGGCGAAACCCGGAAGTAACCCTTTCCGGTACTTCCAGGTTGCTGCGGGACGCAACCTGAAAAGATTTACCGTATTTTTCGCTCTATAAGACGCACCAGACCACAAGACGCACCTAGTTTTTGGAGGAGGAAAACAAGAAAAAATATATTCTGAATCTCAGAAGCCAGAACAGCAAGAAGGATCACTGTGCAGTGAAAGCAGCAATCCCTCTTGCTGTTCTGGCTTCTGGGACAGCTGCACAGCCTGCATTCGCTCCATAAGATGCACACACATTTCCCCTTACCTTTTAGGAGGGAAAAAGTGAGTGGTATAGAGCAAAAAATACGGTAATCTGAAGCAAACGTAACAAGAGGTATGACTGTACTCTTTTACCCTTTTACAAGTCCACCACCTCAAGAGAATACCTTGATCAGCCTGGCCATCCCAAAATCTCCCACTTTGCAGATGTTGTTCTCTCCGACCAGGATGTTCCTGGCAGCGAGATCTCGGTGGATGAATTTCTGCGTCTCCAGGTAGCACATGCCATCTGCTACCTGGGACGCCATGTCCACCAGCTCTGCTATATGCAGGTGCTCCCCTTCGGAACCTGGAAGTAAACATAGAGGGGCATTCCGGTTAGGACCTGTCTGCCTTTCTTCTGAGAGTTTTGCTTATCGTTTCCATAAGGAGAGCCTGCTGGATCGTGCCAACGGCCCCTTGCAGTCAGGATGCTCCGTGGGGCCTCTGAGGACTCTGCCTGCCTCTTCCCACTCAGCCACCCTACAGCTGGGGGGCAGGCAGTGGGTGGACCGTTTGGGGCAGCTAGGAGCCTGCGGGCACCCAAGCCACCGCGTCACTCGCCAGAGAGCCAAGGGCAGGCAGAGCCAACTAATTGTGGATTTGCCTCCTCCGTCATCCTCGCTGCTGAGTTCTACATGGGCAATATTGAGACCTCAGGAGGAGGAAGCTGGCAGAGAACACCACGCTTTGGATGGGTTGCAAGCAGGAAGGTGGGTGGGCAACGGGAAAACTGAAGTGGGTGTGGCAGTGCCCATTTGCCCTTTGGACCAGTATCCACTGCACAGCTGGAAAAGACCACAATAGCTCAAAAGCTAACATTCACACGTGACTCTTGTGTTCAGCACTCGTGATTTCAGGCAGAAGCAGGGCTTTACTTCCTGTTTGCCCCCTGTGGCTGCTCTAGCTCTGCCCTCCGATGACAAAGCATTGGGCTTCTCATGAGCAGGGTCTTCACGCAAGCAGGACCCCCGGTTGTACTGGGTTCCCAGCCCTGTGGATCCCCTGTGTGGAAACGCCTGTGGGGAGTTTCCCCAGCAGACAAGCACCCTCGACACGTGAGCATCAGAAGGTGGCAACACGGTGTCAGAAGTGGAGAGAGAAATGCTGTCCCACTCAGGAAACGGTGAGAGCCCTACCTGCGAGCAATGCAGGAAGCGGGTTACGGTGAAGGACGCACCTTGTGCAAAGGTCTCACCTCGGAGGAATTCTAGGAGGTTCCCTTTGCTCATGATCTCCGTGATGATGTAGACGGGGTCCCCACGAGTCGAGATGGCGTAGAGGGAGAGGATGTGCTTGTGCCTCAGCTTCTTCATCGCCTCAATTTCGTTTTTGAACATGTCCTGGTACGTCAGATCAGCTGCCGGGGTTGGGAGGGAAGCAAGCACATAGAATCACAGAACGGTAGAGTTGGAAGGGACCCTGAGGGTCATCTAGACCAACCCCCGCAATGCAGGAATCCTGCCCACAGTCGTCCCTGAGTAGGCTCGAACCACCAACCTTCTCATCAACCTATTACACTGACTATTGTCGCACTTGTAAAGGAAAGCATAGCGAGCCTTTTCAAGGTCTGAAAACTTTGCACTGTCAAGAGGCAACTTAGGGATATATTTTTTGTCTTACTTCCCTGGCTGAAGAAGGGTGAATAGGAGTTTTTTCATGTTTGAGGTTTTATTGTGTTTATAATATTTTGTTCATCACCAACAAAGGTTCATTTGCCAACAAAGGTCTGTATAGTTAAAGCTATGGTTTTCCCAGTACTGATGTATGGAAGTGAGAGCTGGACCATCAAGAAGGCTGATCGCCGAAGAATGGATGCTTTGGAATTATGGTGCTGGAGGAGACTCTTGAGAGTCCCATGGACTGCAAGAAGATCAAACGCATCCATTCTGAAGGAAATCAGCCCTGAGTGCTCACTGGAAGGACAGATCCTGAAGCTGAGGCTCCAATACTTTGGCCACCTCATGAGAAGAGAAGACTCCCTGGAAAAGACCCTGATGCTGGGAAAGATGGAGGGCACAAGGAGAAGGGGACGACAGAGGACGAGATGGTTGGACCGTGTTCTCGAAGCTACCAGCATAAGTCTGACCAAACTGCGGGAGGCAGTGGAAGACAGGAGTGCCTGGCATGCTCTGGTCCAGGGGGTCACGAAGAGTCGGACACGACTAAACGACTAAACAACAACAATATTTTGTTGGGAGCCACCCAGATTGGCTGGGTGCAACACAGTCAGATGGGCAGCATATTGACAACAACAAGGAACCCAAATCACTAATCTGGCTGCTTCTCTTTGGACCAGCTGATGTTTCTAATGCCTCTTCAGCATTGACCTGGCATGATAAAGGCAGCTTCCCTTGCTCCTGTGCGAAGCCGAACTCTCACCTCTGGGGAGCACTTTGATCGCAACTCTGACTCTGTCCTTCCAGTATCCTTCATAGACTTCTCCAAAGTAACCTGCGCCCAGTTTCTGGGCAAGGCGGAACTCTTCCTTTGGCCTCTCCCAGTCGTCCCAGTGCGGCATCGCCGTGGGCTCTTGCTGGAGTCGAAATAAAAGAAATGGCAAGACTTTGTTACCTAAGGTTCACCCAGAGGACCAATGAAACTGTTAAGTTGTGGGTGAGCATATCAGACGACACAGCGATTCTTCAAACAGCTCTTGTTTATTCACAGGCCAGGACAGAACTGAACTGAAGGCTTCAGCCAGCCTGCTTATATAGAGCTCCAGTACAACGTAACTGTAACAATTTTCTAAAACTATCCAATCACTGAACGTCACTTTCGATCCCTTATTTGCATAACTATCTACAGTATCCCCCTGCTGGCCCAGGGTGAGAACTTCAGTACGTAACAGTAACCCTAAAGACTTCCAAAACTTTCCTGCTCAAGTAGAACGATCGAGTTGGAAGTTATTCCAAGAATCATCTCATCCTACCTTCTGCATGGAGGAATTTCAGCTAAAGCATCCCTGACTGATAGCCATCTTTCTCTGAACTCTGTCGGTTTCACCTTATGGTTACAGGCCCAGGGTGACAGAGCTTTCGGGTGCACGGGCACCCATAGCCGCCATAGCTAGTGAATGTTAGAAATTGATAAATTGTAGAATTTAGGTAATATTTTGAGTATTATTATTATTATTATTATTATTATTATTTCAACTTATACACCGCCCTAAACCAGGAGGTCTCAGGGCGGTTCGCAACAAGACCACAACATATAAAATCAAACCAAAAACAGTACAGTGGTACCTCGGGTTACAGACGCTTTAGGTTACAGACGTCGCTAACCCAGAAATAGTACCTCGGGTTAAGAACTTTGCTTCAGGATAAGAACAGAAATCGTGCTCCAGCGGCGCAGTGGCAGCAGGAGGCCCCATTAGCTAAAGTGATGCTTCAGGTTAAGAACAGTTTCAGGTTAAGAACGGACCTCCGGAACCAATAAGTACTTAACCCGAGGTACCACTGTAACTCAATAATGCCCCCCCCCCAAAGCCACATTCTAAAAGAGTGTTGGATTTCAATGAGATCAACCAAAGGCCTGGCTAAAAAGGAACGTTTTTGCCTGGCGTCTAAAGGTGTACAGTGGTACCTCGGTTTAAGAACTTAATTAGTTCTGGAGGTCTGTTCTTAACCTGAAACTGTTCTTAACCTGAGGCACCACTTTAGCTAATGGGGCCTCCCGCTGCCGCTGTGCCGCCACTGTGCGATTTCTGTTCACATCCTGAGGTAAAGTTCTTAACCCGAGGTACTATTTCTGGGTTAGCGGAGACTGTAACCTGAAGCATCTGTAACCTGAAGCATCTGTAACCCGAGGTAACACTGTATAATGAAGGCGCCAGGCAAACGTCCCTGGGGAGAGAATTCTATAGATGGGGAGCCACTGCAGAGAAGGCCCTGTTCTCGTGCTGCCACCCTCTGGACCTCTCGAGGAGGAGGCGCATACAGAAGGGCCTTGGGTTATGATCTCAGGGTTCGGGTAGGTTCATATAGGAAGATGCCAGACGCCGTTAAAATACAGGTTGAATTTCTTTTCGGGAGATGCCATTCGGAAGACATGGAGAAGAAGGTGTCAGGTCATGAAAGGACATTTAACCTTCTCGTCCTCACTTCCGTTTGCTAACCGGGGCCGGCCAAATGCGTCTGCAGTTGCAAATTTGGACTTACCTTGTAGCACGGGGTCAAGAGCCTCAGCCCGTGGGTGAGTGCTTTCTCTTTGTAATACTCGACCAGGGAGTGCAGATCTGGGAAGGAGCGTGTGGCGTTCATGTAGTAAGCTCCCTGGTCGTTGCGCAAGATCTTGTAGTGCCTCACCAGTGACTCATCTCGGACTGTGAAATCGCGGAAAGGAGAGTCAGAGAAAGAGGGAACAATGCAGAAAGGGGGAGGGAAGCAGGGGGAACACCCAAATCATTACAGGTTGTTATCTTCCTGTTCCCGTAAGTGCCCTGCTGAAAACTGGGCAGGCTGCCAGCTCCCACACGGTTCTGTTCAGTACAGGATCTGCTGTGTTTCATACCACAGAACACCGGTCTTGAAAGACCTACATTGGCTCCCAGTACGTTTCTGAGCACAATTCAAAGTGTTGGTGCTGACCTTGAAAGCCCTAAACGGCCTCGGCCCAGGATACCTGAAGGAGCGTCTCCACCCCCATTGTTCTGCCCGGACACTGAGGTCCAGCACCGAGGGCCTTCTGGCGGTTCCCTCACTGAGAGAAGCCATGTTACAGGGAACCAGGCAGAGGGCCTTCTCGGTGGTGGCGCCCGCCCTGTGGAACACCCTCCCATCAGATGTCAAAGAGATAAACAACTACCTGACATTAAACTCTGCATTGCAAGGGGTTGGACTAAATGACCCTCAGGGTCGTTTCCAACTCTACAATTCTAGGATTAAACAACCTGGAAACAAGTTGCTTAAAGGACCTTTGGCTCCAGCATAAACGTGCCCAGATATTGAGATTGCGCTCAGAGGATCTGCTAGGACTAGGTCATAGGAGACAGGGTCTATTCCAGGGGTAGGCAACCTAAGGCCAGTGGGCTGGATGTGGCCCAATCGCCTTCTAAATCTGGCCCGTGGACGGTCCGTGAATCAGCATGTTTGGACGTGAGTAGAAGAAGAGGAGTTTGGATTTGATCTCCCGCTTTATCACTACCCGAAGGAGTCTCAAAGCGGCTAACAATCTCCTTTCCCTTCCTACCCCACAACAAACACTCTGTGAGGTGAGTGGGGCTGAGAGACTTCAAAGAAGTGTAACTAGCCCAAGGTCACCCAGCAGCTGCATGTGGAGGAGCGGGGAATCGAACCTGGTTCACCAGATTACGAGTCTACCACTCTTAACCACCACACTGGCTCTCCAGAGTAGAATGTGTGCTTTTATTTAAAATGCATCTCTGGGTTACAGTGGTACCTCAGGTTACATACACCTCAGGTTACATACGCTTCAAGTTACAGACTCTGCTAACCCAGAAATATTACCTTGGGTTAAGAACTTTGCTTCAGGATGAGAACAGAAATCGCGCAGCAGCGGCATGGCGGCAGCGGGAAGCCCCATTAGCTAAAGTGGTGCTTCAGGTTAAGAACAGTTTCAGGTTAAGAACAGACCTCCAGAATGAATTAAGTACTTAACCCGAGGTACCACTGTATTTGTGGGGCAAAGGAATTTGTTCATTCTCCCCCCCCCAATATAGCCCAGCCCACCACATGATCTGAGGGACGATGGACCGGCCCATGGCTAAAAAGGGTTGAAAAAGGTTGTCTATTCCACCATAGAATCTGATCTTTGGAACTCCTCGCACAAGGAGTTTCCCCCCGACACCATTGTTAGTTTCTTTTGGGCAACTTTTGGATGACAACTTTTCTTTTAAAAATGACCAGGTCTTTGTTTCGTTTTTCATTTCCGTTTTGCCTTTGTTTTATGCTGGATTTTCGACAGCCTACTCCTGGCCTGTTTATGAGGATTCCTATTCTGTTCCATTCTATATTAAAACTTGTAAGCTGCCGTGGCAGAAGAATCACCAAGAAATGGTAGTAATGAACGGCTAGCAGAAATCTTATTGCCAATGTCCCTGGCGTAAATCGCTGCAGGGCTTCTTGCGGTGGTGAGCGATATATACGTTTAACAAAATGAAAACCCAGCTCTATAAGAAAATTACTAGGAGCTTTTTCTCCTTTGCAACTGGTCACTCAAGTTGGAAAGGTAGGAAGTGAAATATGCTTACCTGACAAAACATACTCAGCTCCCTTTTTCTCACTGATACGGATTAGGAAGGCTCCGACCATATTCTCTTCTGACATCAGCCGGTGGACTGTTTCAGAACGGGAGATCTGCCCAAAAAACCACCTACAGAAGGAACAATTTAAAACATTGCTTTCCTTTCAGGGAAGAAAGGTTGCAGTTCAGCAGTAGAGCAACTCCCAACGAGGTCATAGAAACGAGAAACAGTAATTTTATGGCAATGCATCGAAAGGTAACTGCTTGTTAGGATAGGGCATAGCTCTGCATTTGCTCTGCCAAACCCTACGCCAAAGGAGAAATGGACATAAATCTGATATCAGGAATCACAAGACAGAGAAACCAGTAGGAGAACACTTCAGTCTCCCAGGACATTCTATACAAGATCTCAAAGTAACTGTCTTATTACCAAAGAATTTCAGAAATACACTGGAAAGAGAAGTTGCTGAATTGCAACTTATGACCAAACTTAAAACCATGGAGAGACCTGGTCTGAATAGGGACATTGGATTCTTATCTCATTATACACAATAAAGCTATTTTTAGCCATCTCACCCCTTGATTTTTCCTGTAAGACCAATTGCAGTCATTAACAACAGCCTCGGTCCTGTATACCTGAAGGAGCGTCTCCACCCCCATCGTTCAGCCCGGACACTGAGATCCAGCGCCGAGGGCCTTCTGGCGGTTCTCTCATTGCGAGAGGTAAGGTTACAGGGAACCAGACAGAGGGCCTTCTCGGTGGTGGCGCCCGCCCTGTGGAACACCCTCCCTTCAGATGTGAAGGAAATAAGCAGCTATCCTATCTTTAAAAGACATCTGAAGGCAGCCCTGTTTAGGGAAGTTTTAATATTTAATGCTGTACTGTTTTTAACACTCGATTGGGAGCCGCCCAGAGTGGCTGGGGGAACTCAGCCTGATTGGTGGGGATAAATAATAATAATATATTATTATTATTATTATTATTATTATTATTATTATTATTATTATTATTATTAAACAGTCCAATACGTTTACCACACCTATCAGCCAATCACCCATTCCCACCACTCTTCTCAGTAATACACCTCCCCACCCTCTCACTATATATAAGGGTCTGGTGACTTCTGTTTCAGTGTATCTGAAGAAGTGTGCATGCACACGAAAGCTCATACCAATACAGTAGGTGCTTGGGTTGTGAACGTGATCCGTGCGGGATGCACGTTTGCAACCTGCAGCGTTTGCAACCCACAGCGGTGCGTCTGCGCATGCGCCGGTTGTGATTTGGTGCTTCTGCGCATGCGCAAGCCCCGAAACCCAGAAATAACCCTTTCCGGTACTTCTGGGTTTCGGTGGGTCCATAACCCGAAAAAAACACAGCCTGAAGCGTCTGTAACCTGAGATATGACTGTAACTAACTTGGTTGGTCTCTAAGGTGCTACTGGAAGGAATTTTTTATTTACAAAAAAAGAGATAACAGTATGATTGAGGGGCACAGACATTTTAAAAACGAGAAACCTGAACCACAGGCAGTTGCACTGGAGAGCTTTTTCCTCCTTCCCAGCTCTGTGGTTCAATGTGCAGGTGTGGTCCAAAAAGGCAAATCCAGTACTGGGGACATGCAGAAAGATGAGAAGAGTCTGCTGGACAGGCTAATGGTCCCATTTAGTCCACCATCCTGTGCTCACATCAGCCACCCAGATGTCAGATGCAGGAACTGAGCATAAATGCCCTCTCTCTCCTCCTGCGGTTTCCAGGAACTGGCATTCAGAAATATTACTTCCTCCTACTACGGAGTCACCATCATGGCTAGCAGCCTTCAATAGCCCTCTCTTCTTAAGAAAGTGCGCTCCATAGTTTTCCTCTATGCACGGCATGCAGCAAATTCTGCAACCGCCAGCACAAAAGCAGGTGCAGAACCCGCATCCCTGGGAGCGGCCGCAGCTTTATTTCCAACCCTGCGTTTAGAGCAAGCTTTTTTCCTCCTTTGCCTGAAAAGGCAAGCCTTAAAGTTATAGTAAGCAATCCTACATTTCTTACAAAAGCAGAGACATCACCTTGCCAACAAAGGCCCGTATAGTTAAAGCTATGGTTTTCCCAGTAGTGATGTATGGAAGTGAGAGCTGGACCATAAAGAAGGCTGATCGCCGAAGAATTGATGCTTTTGAATTATGGTGCTGGAGGAGACTCTTGAGAGTCCCATGGACTGCAAGAAGATCAAACGCATCCATTCTGAAGGAAATCAGCCCTGAGTGCTCACTGGAAGGACAGATCCTGAAGCTGAGGCTCCAATACTTTGGCCATCTCATGAGAAGAGAAGACTCCCTGGAAAAGACCCTGATGTTGGGAAAGATGGAGGGCACAAGGAGAAGGGGGCGACAGGACGAGATGGTGGGACAGAGTTCTCGAAGCTACCAGCATGAGTTTGACCAAACTGCGGGAGGCAGTGGAAGACAGGAGTGCCTGGCGTGCCCTGGTCCATGGGGTCACGAAGAGTCGGACACGACTAAACGGCTAAACAACAACAACAACAAAGCAATCTTTCAAGGCTGGAATGAAGACAGGAGATAATGTATGGGTGAAATTGCAGTCTCCTCCTGTGCTTCACCGTCTCCTCACAAAGCTCTGCCAAAGTAGAAGAGGGAATGTGCCTGTTTTTGTTTTTTGTTTTGCATGTGAAATCAAATGAATCCAACAAATCTGCATATCAAATCAATCTGGCTTTTGCGGTCCCACAATCGGGATGTGGGTTAAGTGCCTGTCCACATCTCGGTTTAATGCAGGTTGTAAACCTCTCGTGTGTGTCTTTTTAATTTCCCCTCATCCATGTAGCTCCCAGACCCCCAACTACTGCTGCCCAACACTCTTTCCAAATTTCCCGGGCCACTGATGTATCTCTTCCCAAATCAGATTTTCAAAGCATGGGGAACCTCTGGGTTTAGGGAGCAGAAAGTGTTGTGCAGCGCTTGCTGGAGGAGAAAGCAAGGGGGAATTGTAGGATGAGAAAGAGGTTCCCGATCCACATTAAGTCAAGGTATTGTGGGGACCCTAATTCCAAAGCACTCAATGCCCAGATTTCATCTCTATGCTGCATTTTTAACACTTTTAAAACTGGCTGGGGATATTTGCAGACGTGTACTTACGGCTCTGCCTCCATAGTCTCCTTCTTGGCCAAGTAGTTGTAAGGCACGTAGCCTTCTTCGTAACCCGTCCGGGACGGATCCAGCTTCTTGGCCCACCACCACTCTCCTTTCTTCTCGATCACTTGGAAGAGATCTCCAGCCCGGAAGCTCAGTTCTGTCTCCGTCATGGCTTTGAAGTCCCACAGGCTGGTGTAAAGGCAACTCCTGGCTCTCCATGGTGGCGCAGGCTTGGAACTCATGGTGTCAAGGCAGGCAAGCTGAAGGCTAGAGCAGATTAATGGCCTGTGTGGGTGAAATCTTATGCCTCTGTAGAAAATCACCCCCACCACACACTGCAGAAATCCAGGTTCGTTCTGGCCACAGATCCTTTTCAAAGGCCCATCGCCTGCTACAAACCTCCGCGGGTGAACCTTGGGAAAGCCTTTGCAAATCTTGCGGAGTTGCCTTTTATCTGCACCAGATCAGGTGGAGGCTGCCAAGGGAGTCTTTGCGAGAAAAACCTTCCCCACTTCCTCTTTATAAGGAAGAACGAGAGAAAGAGAGAGAGAGAGCAATAACTTGTCCCTTGCCCTGCCCTGTTGTTGTTCCTTCAACAGAAGAGGAAGGAGGAGGTGGTGAAAGAGAAAGAGAACGCGTGGATTCCCTTCTCCGAGACTGGGGCTCCGGATGCAAATCCCGACGCCTCGTGGCTTCTCGGCGTCTGAGTCAGCCTTTGGGAGATGGGCTAAGCAGGGAGGCCCATCCCGTTTCGCTGCCCGAGGCAAGATGGGACCGTGCCAACGCTGCCAAAGCCTTGCTCAGACGCTTGCGTGAGATCTAGCAAGATCTCTGGGAATTCTTGCGAGCTCTTGCCAGAAGCCGCTGCTATACGACCCCGACAGCAATGGCAGGGGAGGGTGGGCACCCGTGAGACACATAGAGAGTTAACAGCCAAAGGCCTGGTGAAAGAGGAATGTTTTTGCTTGGTGCCTGAAGATCTACAACAATGGTGCCAAGCGAGTCTCCCAGGGGAGAGCATGCCATAGGTGTGTGACACACCCACACCAGGGCCGGCCCACCCATGAGGCAAAGTGAGGCAACTGCCTCAGTTGGCGGGATCCACAGGGACAGCAGATCTCGATGCAGATCTGTCCCCCATTTCTGATTGTAGCTCTTCACTTACCCCTTCTTCCCTGGTGGGGAGAAGGACCCCGTTTTGTGGTGAGCCTCAGGTGCCAAAATGTCTCTTGCCATCCCTGGTTTCACACCTTGAATCCAAACAGGCCTTTTCTGCGGTGGCTCCGTGCCTGGAAAAAACCAAGCATTGGTCTGATTAACATTTTATGGTTTTCAAAAATGTGTTTGTGGTAAGGGGTGGTTTGTTTGTTTTTGTTTCTATTCTCATTTTGTATTTTTCTGTTGCGATCTGCCCTGGAATCTTCGGGTGAAGGGTATGTATGCAAATCCTAACAGGCAATAATAATAACAACTTCAGAAGTCTCCCTCATCACTTCTGTTGCTTTGATGTGAATTATTTCTTCCCGAAAGTAACCCAACACGAGGTTCTCCCCGAGGCTAAAGGAAGATGCATGGGATCTTCCTCTTCAAGGGCAGAGAGAGGATCTCATGTAGGATTTCCCCTGCACGTGCTGTGGAAACTCCCATGGCCCGATGACGTCAGAGCTCCAGGCCTGAAAAGGGGGCGTGTGCCAGAGACGAGTCTGGGGAAGACCAGGAGAAAGTTGGGATCCAGGTATTCCCCAATCCAACACGCCCCCGCACCGACCCAAATTTCAGCTAACCCTGGATGCTGGTGCAGTTTATTTCCCTTCTATTTCCCACTTATTTCCAGCTCCGGATTCTGATCCCTTTGAGCTTCGGCGAAGCAGGAGTGCTTCTGAGCGTGTGCAGAGCGCCTACCCCTCGCTACTGAGCCACAGAGGAGCAGCAAATCCTGAATCAATTGCCTGGGACGGCAGAGTGCATGCCAGGAGGGAAGGGAAGAGCAACTTCAGCCAGGGAAATGTGGGCGATGCTTTCTGCCCTGCTCTTTCTCCCCGCTAAAGGGCAGAGTGCTTCTGAGCGCGTGCAGAGCGCCCTGCCGTCGATACCGAGCCCCGGCGGCAGCAGGAGCAGCAGATCACGAGACAGCTGGCCGACATGAGCGGGTGCAGGCAAAGAAGGGAGGGCGAGAGGGGAAACGCCAGCGATGCTCTCCCGCTCCACGTTTCTCCGCAAATGACCCGAGACTAGAAGAGGAGCTACGGAGCCGCAATACCGCACTTCGCCGCCAGAGGGCGCAGCACGGACCGCGCTTCCGCCCGCGCTTGCCCGCTGCACACACGTCACTGTCGGCCTCGCGAGGGAGGGGCTGAGGCCCGGGACGAGCCGGAGAGTGCTTATTTGCATCCCGCCGCGACCGGCATGCCTTGCGCCCACCACCACGCGGTTCTTGCGGGCTCCGCCGGTTCGGTGCCGGTTCCGGCTGTGGCGGGGACGCCGCTTGCAGGGAGGGCGAAAGGCGTATTCCGGGGCGCCCGGGCATCTGAATCTTAGCCCGCAGGCGAGGGCACCGTAACCTCAGGGGCAGGCGCGCGTCCGGTGGCTGGTGCCGTGCGGGGGCAGAAGGCATACTCTGGTTTCTCTTCAGATCGTATAAATCTTTCGCCTTTTACTAAAGATTTCCGTGGAGAGGAACATTTATGAGTTTTCAACTAATTTTTTGAGGCCTTGCTTCGGCAGGGCTGTCCTTTCTTGGTGCAAAAGTAGAATTCGTTTATACTTGTTGTTGTTCCTGTTTCCTTATTCTTTGGGACAGGGGGTGGGCAGGTGTGGGGGATTCCTTGGTCGTGAGTGGGGTAACTACCTCTGAAAGGCCAGGTGTGCAGCCTGGGAGTCATTTTGGACACACATCTGTCCATGGAGGCACTGGACAATTCTCTATTCAGGGCAGCTGTTTATCAGCGCCATATGGTACACAGGCTGAGACCTACCTGTGTATCTCCAGAGTGGTGCATGCTCTGGTTATCTCCCGCTTGGACTACTGCAGTGCGCTTTAGGGCTTGCCGATCGAAAGGTCGGCGGTTCGAATCCCCGCGGCGGGGTGCGCTCCTGTTGCTCGGTCCCAGCGCCTGCCAACCTAGCAGTTCGAAAGCACTCTCGGGTGCAAGTAGATAAATAGGGACCGCTTACTAGCGGGAAGGTAAACGGCGTTTCCGTGTGCGGCTCTGGCTCGCCAGAGCAGCGATGTCACGCTGGCCACGTGACCCGGAAGTGTCTCCGGACAGCGCTGGCCCCCGGCCTCTTGAGTGAGATGGGCGCACAACCCCAGAGTCTGGCAAGACTGGCCCGTACGGGCAGGGGTACCTTTACCTTTACCTTTACCTTTGAAGGTAACACGGAAATTGCAATTACGGTAATCCAGAATGCGGCAGCTAGACTGGTGACTGGGAGTGGCCAATGAGACCACATTACACTGGTCTTGAAAGACCTACATTGGGCTCCCAGTATGTTTCCAAGCACAATTCAAAGTCTTGGTGCTGACCTTTGAAGCCCTAAACGGCCTCAGTCCAGTATACCTGAATGAGCATCTCCACACCCATCTACCCGGTGTTCTACCCGGACACTGAGGTCCAGCGCCGAGGGCCTTCTGGCGGTTCCCTCACTGCAAGAAGCAAAGCTACAGGGAACCAGGCAGAGGGCCTTGTCGGTAGTGGCGCCCGCCCTGTGGAACGCCCTGCCACCAGATGTCAAAGAAAAAAAACAACTATCAGACTTTTAGAAGAAATCTGAAGGCAGCCCTGTTTAGGGAAGCTTTTAATGTTTGACAGACTATTGTATTTTAATATTTTGTTGGAAGCTGCCCAGAGTGGCTAGGGAAACCCAGCCAGATGGGCGGGGTATAAATAATGATTATTATTAGTCAAGTAAGATTGTTTTCCTTGAATATGGTCTTAACAGTAAGTGATTGGAGGCCAGTTCTGGATCCACAAGTCCTTCCACAGTGGGGACATAGGTTTCAGACAAAGTCCACGATGCCTTTGGTAAAGACTGTCTACCAATTGGAGCACTCACAGGCCAGTGTTTCCCAATTGTTGGTGTTTATACTATAATTTTTAAGATTTGCCTTGAGAGAGTCTTTAAACCTCTTTTGTTGACCACCAGCATTACGCTTTCCATTTTAAAGTTCGGAATAGAGTAGTTGCTTTGGAAGACGATAATCAGGCATGACCAGTCCAAGGATGTCGATGTTGAAGAATAATTGCTTTGACACTAGTGATCTTTGTTTCCTCCAAAGATCTGGCATTAGTTCGCCTGTCTTCCCAAGTGACGTGTAAAGATTTCCGAAGACACCGTTGATGGAATCTTTCAAGGAGTTGGAGATGGCGTTTATAAGTGGTCCATGTTTCACAAGCATGCAGTCAAGGTTGGTAGTACAATAGCTTTGGAAACAAGCATTTTGGTTTCCCTGCGAATGTCCGAGTCCTCAAACACTCTGCACTTCAGTCGGGAGAAAGCTGCACTCGCAGAGCTCAGGCGATGCTGGATTTCGGCATCAATGTCGGCCCTTGTGGAAAGGTAACTGCCCATTGAGTTGGATTTGCGAAGCTGTAGATGGGTTATTTTGTATTGTTGGTGCAGCACTTTGTTTTTTTGGATGTTGAGTGATAGGCCAAGCTTTTCGTAAGCTTCTGCGCAGATATTTAGGATGGTTTGGAGGTCATCCTCTGAGCATGCGCACACTACGTTGTCATCAGCATACTGAAGCTCTATGATGGAAGTTACGGTAACCTTACTCTTTGCTTTCAGTCTGCTTAGATTGAAGAGCTTTCCATCTGTTCAATATATGATTTCTACTCCAGTGGGGAGTTTCCCTTCGACAAAGTGTAGGATCATGGCAATGAAAATAATGAATAGAGTTGGGGCAATAAGACAACCCTGTTTAACACCTGATAACACTGAATGGTTCACTTTGAGAGCCATTGTTATCTGCGATTGTTGCTGTCATATTATCATGGAGGAGCCGGATGATGTTCACAAATTTATCTGGGCAGCCAATTTTCACAAGGACAGTCCATATGGATTTACAGTGTCGAAAGCCTTAATCAGGGGTTGGTTTTGCTCTCTGCATTTTTCTTGAAGCTGTTGAGTGGTGAAAATCATGCCCACTGTCCCCCTAGAAGGCCGAAAACCATTTTGGGATTCAGGAAGGGTGGCCTCGGATATTGTTAAGAGACAGTTTGCTAAGATCCTTGCAAGAATTTTCCCGGCCACAGCTAATAAAGAGATGTCGTGATAGTTTCCACAATCCATTCTGTCACCTTTTTAAAAAGAGATTGACAGTTCTGGCATCCCTAAAGTCTGCTGGGATCTCCTGTCTCTCTCTCACTTATTTTCTCCAGCATATATACTCTTGCTTCTGATTTTGCAGCCCTCCGTCGAACAAGGCAAAGGGAAGGTTGCTTCACATGCACAAGGTCCCAGGTTCAGTCGCCAACATCCTCTGAGAACTAGGGGTATAGGGCAGTATACCAATTTAATAAATAAGATAAAATAAATATACAGGTAGGACTAGGAGACAGTACGTCTGGCAATATGTGGATGACACAAAGCTCTACTTCTCCATCATTGCTCTATTATATCTATTAAATTTGTATTCATCAGAAGAAGTCAGGGCAGTTGTTTTTTACTTTTCTGCTGTGGTTGCCATATGATGGAGAGATCCAAAAGAAGGCTGAACAAGATAAACGAACAAGCTCCAAATGCATCTCTCTTTTTTGGTGGGGGGAGACATCGTGCGGAACTACAAGCTCAGATTTGAGTAGTAGTAGAGCCTCACCAAGAATTCATGCTTTTGAATTCTGGTGCTGGAGGAGACTCTTGAGAGTCCCATGGACTGCAAGAAGATCAAACCTCTCCATTCTTAAGGAAATCAGCCCTGAGTGCTCACTGGAAGGACAGATCCTGAAGCTGAGGCTCCAAGACTCTGGCCACCTCATGAGAAGAGAAGGCTCCCTGGAAAAGACCCTGATGTTGGGAAAGGCTGAGGGCACAAGGAGAAGGGGACGACAGAGGACGAGATGGTGGGACAGTGTTCTCGAAGCTACCAGGATGAGTTTGACCAAACTACGGGAGGCGGTGGAAGACAGGAGTGCCTGGCGTGCTCTGGTCCAGGGGGTCACGAAGAGTCAGACACGGCTAAACGACAACAACAGAGCCTTTACCACGACTGACTCGTTGCTATTCGTACCTACAGCTAATCGACTAAGAACTAGTTCTATTTTTGCACCAAGAAAGGACAGCCCTGCCGAAGCAAGGCCTCAAAAAATTAGTTGAAAACTCATAAATGTTCCTCTCCACGGAAATCTTTAGTAAAAGGCGAAAGATTTATACGATCTGAAGAGAAACCAGAGTATGCCTTCTGCCCCCGCACGGCACCAGCCACCGGACGCGCGCCTGCCCCTGAGGTTACGGTGCCTTCGCCTGCGGGCCAAGATCGAGATGCCCGGGCGCCCCGGAAGACGCTTTTCGCCCTCCCTGCAAGCGGCGTCCTCGCCTCAGCCGGAACCGGCACCGAACCGGCGGGGCCCGCGAGAACCGCGTGGTGGTGGGCGCAAGGCATGCCGGTCGCGGCGGGATGCAAATAAGCACTCTCCGGCTCGTCCCGGGCCTCAGCCCCTCCCTCGCGAGGCCGACAGTGACGTGTGTGCAGCGGGCAAGCGCGGGCGGAAGCGCGGTCCGTGCTGCGCCCTCTGGCGGCGAAGTGCGGTATTGCGGCTCCGTAGCCCCTCTTCTAGTCTCGGGTCATTTGCGGAGAAACGTGGAGCGGGGCGGAGAGCATCGCTGGCGTTTCCCCTCTCGCCCTCCCTTCTTTGCCTGCACCCGCTCATGTCGGCCAGCTGTCTCGTGATCTGCTGCTCCTGCTGCCGCTGTGGCTCAGCATCGACGG